GGGAAGTGGAGTGGGCACACTCGGCTGGAGCATCCCTCCTCACTTCCCGTGGTGCCTGTGTGAACCAGAGAGCGGTGCAGCCAGCTCTGGGGATGTTTACACAATTACCTTCACTTACCCGGGGCCCTCGGTGAAGTCACGCCTTAACTCTACGTCGAATTGATTTCCCAATGACTTGGCTTTGGGTTTGGGTTTTTTTCTGTGCCACAGAAGCCAGGCACTTGCTCAGACCTGACCATATCGGGGGTTTTGTGAGTGATTTGAATCAGTTTTTAACGTTCAGAGTGGTGGTGACGTGGCAGGACAGCGCTGTGCTCCTGTCTGGGAATATCGAGGGCAATATACCCCGTGCTCTGTGAGCAGACTAAGGGCCGGTGCCTGTCGTGGGTAATTCTTAGGGTGAAAGTTCAGAAGACACAACAGGCAGTAACCATTAACTGACATCATTCCCAAGCAACCAAAAATATCATTCTTCTCTGATTTGTTAGTGATGTAGATCACCAAAAAGCTGACTGGGTTAGTATCCACCAGCGGATATGCCAGCTGCTGATTCCAATCCGCACTTCCCCTCCTTTTCACCTCACTGAAGAAGAAAGCAGGCACAGCACGGAGCAGCTGGAGAAGAGGCAGGTACGTACACGACAAACACGTGCCACTTCAAGGTGCTGCCAGGGAAATTCAGTCAGACCTGAATTTTTCTTCATCCTCTGATTTGATGTACGTGGTGTTGGGAGGGCACCTCGCTGGCTGAGCAGTTCTTACTTGAAGAGCTTTGATTTATTTATTTTTTTAAAAAAACAAAACCTCTGTAATAAGGGCAGTGGGAACATCCTCTGATTCCACCAGCTCCTGCCTTTTTCACTCCAAGCCCTGAGCTTCCTCAGGCAGCAGCAATCCTGGATCTCCCACCTTGCCTGGTAATTAGTCCACCCGCCCTGGTTACCCTGGGATCCAGCTGAGTTTTAATTCTTACAGGCTCTCCTCACCCTTCCCTGATGAGAGGGATTCCCCTTTCTCAAAACAAGGGGGCAAAGAAATAAAAGTCCCCTCCCTTTGTTTACCTGGCCAATTTGAAACGCCCTTTCCCACTAAATACCCTCTTTTATCTCTGGTTTTTGGCCTCGTGGGCGGTGCAGATGTGCAGCTCCTTTCCAGCCCAAGTGGTTTTCAACTCTTTTTTTGTTTGTTTGTTTGTTTGTGGGGTGGCAGGATTTGCTTTCCCACAATGCTGATGAAATAAAATAACCCACCCAAATACATCTGCTCCTTAAAATGATTTTGCCCATAAAAATAAATTCTCCTTCTATCATTGCATCACTCCTAATCAGAGAATCATGGAATGGTTTGGGTTGGAAGGGACCTTAAAGCTCATCCAGTCCCAACCCCCCTGCCAGCAGCAGGGACACCTTCCACTCGACCAGGTTGCTCAAAGCCTCATCCAGCCTGGCCGAGAACACTTCCAGGGAGGAGCAGCCACAGCTTCTCTGGCCAACCTGGGACACTGTCTATTCAATCACCAAATAAGACAATAGAAGAGCAGGAAGTGAGCTGAAATCAATGATGCCACTGAGAAGAACAGCAATAATCTTCTGGATTTTACATCACACATTATTTTTAAGGTTGTGTCTGGCCAGGCACTAGTACTTTGGTGACTGGCTCCTGGCGACAGTTGTTCCTGGGAGCATCCAGAAAGAGCCAGTCTAAAAAGGGTGGAACCTGCGTAAACAAAAGTCCTCCTGGGTGAAAGCTTGTGACAGGCTTCAGTCAGCATATTCCTTGTGACAGGCTTCAGGCATCAGATTCCTTGTGACAGGCTTCAGGCAGCAGATTCCTTTCAGTTTTGTAGGAATTGGGCGCTGACGACCCAATTTGGTTTTGAAAATCCCATCTGTGTGAAAATCACAGGCAAGATTGTCCACCAAAGCCTGAAGAAGGTGTGTCAAACTACTAAACTATGTCCCAGAACCATCAGGAAAAAAAGCAAAAGCTCCTTTGTTCCAGGTTGTGTGTAAATTGATCTTTTTTTAAAGTCTGCAAAGAAAAAAAGTTAAAATTGGTCTTGTTGAGGGTGGTGACAAGGGGTTGTTTTTTTTTTTGGCATCCTTAACTGCTTAAAGCTTCTCCAAGGAACTTCACCAACCTCTTGACGTTGAAATCATCATCGGTTATTACATCATTGAGTTTATAGCAACTCCAATTATACTATATACATTACAAAAGCCCACGTGGCTGCCAGATCAGGGAAGTACTCTTTGATTAGCTGCAAGCTAATAATTTGTTTGTGTGAGGTTCCAGGGGAAGGCAGCAGGAAGCCGGTGGAGAAGGGAGAGTCACTCCCTCGATTGGAGTGCACACCTAGGGCAGCGGGCGGCACCTGCGGCTCCAGCCCAGCCTTGTCATCACTTCATGGGAAAAGTCACAGAGAGCAGACTCACAGCTTGTTGGGTTTTTTTTTTCAAAGTAGAGATTTATTTTTATTTTAATAGAATCTTTAACAACCCTGTTACATGTGTTCTTTGACCTTTGTCTCCAGACTATTTAAATAAAATACATCCTGGGAACAGTATGTGCAGGGACACTTTGTCTTCCTTCTCTCCTAAGAAAGGAGTGGAAGAGCAGAAACAACCTGTCACCTGCTGGCTTTTGGAGTGAGACTGCAGCTCCTCGCCCACAAATGCCTCTGCCTTTCTGTACAGCAGGAGTGCAGCATAGACAACGTAGGGCCCAGACTGTCTGACCAGCCTTGGAATTGCAGCCTGGAGAGGGTGAGATTATTTACTGCCCCATCTTGGTGGCTTCATCACATTCCTATTCACAGAGCCAACCAAAATGCTTTCAAGGCCTTTGCAGCTTGAGGGAAAACTACATACTCTCATGATCACCAGAGAAAACCACCCTTCTGCTCAGAGCTCAAAGCCTGCCCGTAGGTTTATGATTTTTTTGGACATTTCTGCTGTATTTCACAAATTCCTGCACGGTGTTTGTTTAGAAAACACACAGCTCCAGCCTCAGTCAGGACACAGGAAAGCTTGTGCACATCAAAATGCCCTGTGGCCTGAGGGAAGGTGCATGAAGCGGAGAGCCAGGAGGTTATGAGTTTCATACCTTGTCTGTACTCTAAAGCTTTGTTGATAGAAATCTGCTTTTGTCAACATAGCCGGGGGGATGCCTGCAGACAGTACCTCCAAACTGACAAAACTCCAAGTTTCTGTTTGTAGAATAGCCTCACCTGCCTGCCTGATGTCAGCTTACCACAGCCCCTGGGCACGGGGAAACGATCCACCCCTCAGCCAGCTCCAGCAGTCCTGCAGCACCAGCTCCAGCCCTGCCAGCTCCAGATTTCAACCCAAACTGCCTGGAAGCTTTACCTTCCTCTTCAAATCCACATTTCTTCAAGTGCACCCTCGGTTTTGAGTGAGTAAATGAATGTGACACCCAACCCCAAGTGTCTTCCCAACCTCCCCGTGCCCCCCTGGTGCAGAGCTGGGGGGTCCTCAGCCTCCTCAAACCCCAACTGGGGGAAAATTGCGTGGGGGCATCTTCAGAGAAACCTCTGTAATTACAACACAGATGAAAAGAGCCCAAAGCCTGCAGGTCTGAGGGCATGGGGCTGAAAACCAGTGCAGGGCTAAAGCTAACGATCCCCCCAAGGCTTGTAACTGCAGCAGTCTTAAATATTCAGCGCTGCAGGGCTTCTCTTGTCTCCTGCCCTTTCTTCTCCTCCTGGGAGCTGTTCAAGAGTCTAACACTCAGCTTTTCCTCGCTGCAGATGTTTGGAGATAGCTGACATCACATCACGGGAAGCAGCAATGATCCTATTGACAAGGAGGAAAAAAAGATCCTGATCTCCAGCACCTCCCCAGATGACAATCTTGCTTGAGACCCACGCACCAAAGCCAGTAGTGCTGGTTGCAACAGAGAAGGAATGTCGTGGATAGAAAAGGCAGCCTGATAAATAACAGCTTTCATTGCTCCTTGCCCTGAGCACGTGCTGAATTTCTCCTGGGCACCACATGCTCCCCCAGCACGGCTGGTTATGGTGCTTTTTCACTACACGCTGGTAGCTCAGGGGCTGGAGGGGGGATGACCACTGTGTTTTCTGGCTCCTGGCTCTCCTGCTATAGCTGTGTGCTGTCACTCTGAGGAGTGTTCTTCGAAACTCTCGTTTATCCAGAAACGATGTCCCTCGATCTTGGCCAGGATCTCCAGGAAACACTCACAGGCTGTCCTTGAAGTTCCCTGTCCCTGAGCTGTTGCTTCACCCATGGCGTGACTACTCCCTGCCTCTCTCTAAGCACTTAAAGCTCAGCAAAATGCCGAAGCCTGACCTCCAAGAGCACTGGGATTTGTTTTTTTCTGCCCTGTGCTCAGCCACAGCTGTAAACCAGAAGGCAATAAAGAGGTAAAATGGTGTTTTCTGCCGGCACTCACTGCACGGGCCTGCCCGTGCCTCCGAGCAAGAGGAGAGCCAGTGCCTTGCTGACTTACCATGGCACACCAGCAACAAGATTGCTTTCCAGGCGGCTTCCCCGCTGCACCACTTGTGTGAAAAGCCAATGCAGAAGTGTTGGGAGTTGGCAACAGTTATGTTGAAAGCAAAAAGAAATAGATAAATAAGCATCCTGGCTTTTTGTTTTTATTTGCTGGCATCCCTCAGCGCGTTGTGAGGGCGCTGGGATCTGCAGTTGCTGTAGAGCTCTTGGCAATGCAGAGGCATTCAGATGGAGAGACGTTTGTTCAGCTGGTGAATAGATCAGATGCTGCAAAAGGTGAAAAGACCAAATGTGGTGTGGAGTGCTGGGAGCAGCAAAAGGCAGGGAGCAGCTCAACGTGTGGGAAACTCAACGTTATGGGAAACATCTCTGGAGATGTTCCAAACCCACCTGGACACTTCCCTGTGCAACCTGTTGTAGGGAACCTGCTTTGGCAGGGGGGTTGGACTGGATGATCTCCTGAGGTCCCTTCCAACCCCACCACCCTGGGATTCTGTGATTCTGGATTCTGTGATTCTGGATTCTGACAACAAACAGAAATGCTGTAGAAGCTGCTTGACCCCCAAGCCCAGCTTGCCTGGTGGATGTACAGGAGTGTCATGCAGCTCATCAGGCTGTTCTGATTTTAATCAGTTTTCCAGGCTCTGTGCCCAAAAATACCAGGCCTGGAACTGGCCGGGAGAGGGTGGGAGAAAGCTGCAGCACCATGTGAGGAGCTCTCTCCTTTCCTTCCAGCCTGTGTCTCCTGCAGCTGGAGGTGTGCCATGCTGGCACCAGCCTGGCAAACCATACGCTCGGCTGCTTGCTATGAGTCACCGCTGTTACCGTCAGCAAAACCCCGCCATAGCCCCTTTGTCTAATCTTTTCTGTGGTCTTGTGATGATCATTTTCTGTGCTTCACAGCTTTTATTGCTGCAGCCTTATTAGCCCTTTTTCCTTGGGTTCAGGGATTCTTCATCTCCTAAGATGCCACATGACCTAAGAGGATGTCCAAAGCTGTTCCTGCTAGAAGTGGGAATGAAAGCCAGGCTCTAATATGACAGCTTTGATTTCCATCCATTAATTACAAAGAACATTGCAGTCACTTTTTAACAGCTTGAAAACCGGAATGTAAAAAGAGACCATGGATTTTATTTCTCCTTCCTTTGCTTACTCTGTCCCATTACTATGTTTCCCTGCAGAAATACATCATTGATCTCGCACACCGCACAGCCCAGGAGTTCATTTTGGGTGGAAAACACAAAGAAGCGCTGCCTGCAGCTTTGCATGCCTTACGTTTCAGCGCTGAAGTGTACGGCTCCGATTCTGTGCAATTGGTGCCTGCTTATCTCCTCTTGGCTGAGGCCTCCACTGGTAAGTATTGTCTAAATAGTAACGTTGGCAAGGGCAAGACCTCCCTTGGGTCACGTTTCATGGTTTCCTTTTACCATTTATCAGGGAAGGACCCGCTCTGCATTTCAGCGTTGTGCCATGTCTCTCCCCTGCCCTGCCTCAAGGGCATTTCGGAGAGATTTGAGAAGTCACACACCCCCCACACACACACACAAACACACACACTTTTTCTGTGTGGGTCTGGGGAAAAGAATCACTCAGCAGTGATGAGAGATCAGTGAAAGCAAATGAAATGTTTTCTCCCTCTTTACCAATTCCCACAAGGAAAGCAGTATGAAAATCTCCTCGTTACCTCTGTGGCTTCGTATGACTCTCAAAAGCATTAAATTCCCAAGGGTAGTTGCTTGCACTCTTATCTCAGAGGACCAGCAAACATTTCTGAGGCCGTTGCATCAGAAGAACGCCTCAGTTCATTCACAAAAGCACTGTCTGCCCGAAGCTGGGCTTTTTCTCATTGCCTGGATGCTTTATAAAAAAAGTCACATCAGGATCCTGCGTGTGGAGAAACGCTCTCCTGAGCCGCGGGCGTAAGGGACTGAGAAATCACCACGGGAAATCACGGCCAGTACAGGAGCACACACAATGCCTCGCTGGCAGGAGTGAGCTCTCTCAAGGGTTGTTGTAAATGGGGTGGCCAGAGAAGGGGGGAAAAAATTCCCATGAGTAATTCGAGTGTGATAATAGAGGAGCCATTAGTGGCTGCCTGTAGCTGACCTGTTTCGAACGCGTGTTTCAGAGATGTTGAATGCAGTACTCAGGTTCTGGCTTCTCTTGTAGCTCTCAACCCTCAGCCTGTCTGTAAACTAGACTTTGAGCACTTGCTCAGCTAAGGAGCACTCAGGAGAGAAGTGAGGAATCCACAAACTAAATCTCCATGTCAAACTACTGCAAAGGATTAATGGGCAGTATTCTCTAATTTTCTAAATTAAAAATATTACTCTTTATCCTGCTGATTTCTACATGTCATTTCAGGTGTTGGCCATCTTCTAGAGGCGTCTAAGTATCTCTCCCAAGCCCAGTGGATTGTCCTCAGAACTCCAGACTGCAGTGTTGCTATTCAGTATAAATTACATCGTAGTCTGGGACTTCTCTATGCTGCTGAAGGAAACTTTGAACAGGCTTTATATCACCTGGCAAATGACGTAAGCCAACTCCAATACAGAAAGGCTTCAGTTTCTCTTCCTTCTCTAACACTTCCAGGTCCATTTGAAAACCCCAGCAGGCAGATTTGTAATCCTGATTTTAGGTACCGAGAGGATACGTGTTATAAACACCTGAACAGTCTAGATCTGCTACACCCCTGTCTGCATGTGCCACCAAACTTGTGTTTTACCAGTTCTCTTGGTTCCCTTGAAGTGACA